GCAGACAGTTGCTTAACAATATTCGCTAAGACTGAAGTGCACAAGCCCATCTTCCTCAGCCTCACATCACGTCAAGCAAACACCAAACATTTTAAGCTACTTCCTCAGACAACTACCATCAACTCCTCTGACCCTCAGAACAACCAGTGAAGGTCATGGGACCCTCACTGAAGATGAGGAGAGTGTCTGGCACCAAGTCGGTGATTCCTATCTGAAGCTGGGTGTGGGCTCCGCTGAAGGGGAGAGTGAGTGGTAGCTTGTGTGTGTGTGTGTGGGGGGGGGTTGGTTCTCTCATCAAAAGTGTCTCCAACAATAAAAATAAGCAGCATAAAAATTTGTGAAAAAAAAAGTGTGAAATGGGGCTGGGTGAGATGGCTCCCTAAGGGGCAGAAACACTTGTGATACAAGCCTATCTTACCTGAATGTGATCCTCAGGGCCTATGGTTGAGAGACCCAACTCCCCAAAAATTTCCTTCATCACAAGCACATGATGACATGTATATGCCTTCACATACACACACACACACACACACACGTAATAATAATAATAATAATAATAATAATAATAAATTAGTTATTTAAAGTGTGAAATGATCAAAATACATGCATGCATGCACTAAATTCTCAGAAAATTAATACAAATGTTTTTTAAGTTTGTGTGAAATGCATCCATTTCGGTCACCACTAGAAAACATCTTCTTAAAAGGCAGTCACCCGGACACCAAGATTTTTGCCAAACTTGAGGTCACCTGTGCTTATTGATTACTCTAATTTAAAAAATATTTCAGAGTTTAAAAAACATTAGCTATAAAAATTTGACCCCACACAGCAGTATCGGTACATATAAGTTCATATGATGTTTGCAAGTTTTTTCAAATGCCAATCAAGGAAAATAGATAATTAATCTTTCTTCTTTTTACATCATGCCATAGACTTTTAATTTTAGAATCGGCTTGGGCACTAACAGAAATGCATAACACTTGGAGGGAAATTCATTAATTCAAATTAATGAGATCATTTCACACTGTATTTTTTTTAACTCAGTGAAATATTTAAAAATCCTTTTATTTTCAAGAAAGACAAGGTCAGACGAGCTGTGACAGCATATCAGAGAGGGAAATTGAGGACCAGCAAGACGGCTCCGTGAGTGAAGGCACCTACGAGCAAGCCACACTCGACGACCTGAGTCCAATCCCCAGGAGCCACAGGTACAAGAAGAGGCCCAAATTCTGCAAACTGTCCTCTCACCGCCACATATGTACACCATGGTATGTGTACATGCCAACACATACATGCACACACACACACAAAATAAACACAGTAGCAACTTTTAAAGGGAAGAAAAACGTTACCTGAGGGACTCCGCTATGGGGGAAACCATCTTAGACGATGAGCAGTTTGCGGTGCACCTGCATCCTGCGCCGTAACAGGCGTGCAACGCCCCTGATTTCTGAGGGCAGTATTCACACCAAACATCACACTGGTGACTCCTCACTCAGCTCTGAACCCTAAATCCTAGGAGCCTTCTAAAAACTGCTGCAGTCAAGACTGGCAAGAATGGAGCAGCCAAGGTGGGCGGTGGTGGCGCTTGCCTTTAATCCCAGCACTCGGGAGGCAGAGGCAGGCAGATCTCCAAGCTTAAGGCCAGTTTGGTCTACAGATCAAGCTGCAGAACAGCTAGGGATACAGAGAAACTCTATCTCAGAAAAATAAACAAAAAAAAAGTGGTGCCGACTTCTCTTCCCTCTAAAGCCCTCAGCCCCCATGGAACAGAAGTCTGGCTGTCCAGGGAGGGTGGTGGTCCGGGAGCTCCATTCAGCATCTGACAGGTACTTACTTATTAAGTAATGGCGCCAATAGTATCTCAGCTGGGAAGAGGAAGGACCATCTACTTGGTTTTTTTTCCAGCCTCCCTCCTCCCTACATCCTGCTCCAAGATGAGCCAGCTTCTCTAGAGCCTGGCAGCTGCATCTGAAAGATCCCAGATGCTCGAAGGAAAGGGACCCACTCCTTAAGAGTGTTTGGCCTAGCATTCCTCTGCCAGAGTACTAGACACACGACATATGCTACAAGACTCCCTCAACCATGAGGCTGGAGTCCCACTGACCACTTCCTGGGATCTAGGTCGGCCACCAACTGGCTGTGCAACCTTGGACAACTCATACCACCTCGCTCAGTTTGTGCCTAGCTCTCTAAAAAGGAGTTTGCTGGACTCTTTAGATTCCGAAATTCTCCAATTCTTACCCATGCCAGTGAATGCAGAGAGACTCGCCCTTTGCGGCATCTGTCCCCAGGTTGGCTAAGCCTGGAGGAGTTCAAGGGACGTAGAATCCAGAGGCCTATGTTGTCATCACCATCTGTCACAGCCACCAGCCTTACTGGGGGTGTCGGGTTACGAGCGATCACTGGCTGGGTGGCAGCCCTGACTCTGATATTTTTAGAGTCCTCCTGGGCCTTGCCCTAACAAGAGTCAGATGTGTTCAGTCCCTGACTGCCAAAGGCCTGTCTACATCCTACCTAACTCATGCTTCTAGGGCAGCACCTGCAGGGAGCAAGACAGCACCTCATCAGTGATGGAGTGAGGAGGGGGTACCTCTTCTTCCCACCCTCTCACAGGTACCCCACCCCTTTCCAGACACAGAGTCCTCTGCCGACCTTTGAGAGTTTTGCTCCCCAGTCCCAGAATGGGGACCCAAACCCTCCTTTGGGTCTTGATGCCCAGGTCCATTTGAGCCACCCCTGGCTTAAGCACCTGCCCCACTTCAGCTTTTGAAACCTGCGTCAGAGACCCCACCTGACAACAGACCTGGGCACCACCACATTATTGCAACAAGTGCACATACAATTAGCTGTCCCCCCGGAAAGGTTTTTATATAGTTCTGTCTCAGCAGACTTCCTTCCCTGTGGTGTCCCTTGGAGTTAGCTCACGGTGACAAAGAACTGCCTTCCATTGCACCTCACGATGAACAGGGAGGCTCTGAGAGGAGGAGAGGGAGCCATGGACAGCAGAGTGTCAGTTTGTACCTGCGCATAAGCAAAACACTGGCAAATGGGCCCTCCCTGCACTTACGATAAGACAAAGGGAGAGAAAGAAATCTAGATGCCATTACCTGTAAGGAGGGTGGGTGAGTGTGTTTAAGTGTGTATGTATGTGTCTACGTGTGCGCGTGCGCACATGTGTGTCTGGGGGCTGCTAAATAGATACGCTGTGTATTTACAATTAAATCCTCCCTTGGGGCAGTGTCGGCTTGAGAGGGGGCCTCCCCTGTAGGTGGGGCAGCACCACCCAAGCTAACGTCTTCTTAGGGCTGTTTTGCCCAGCCTTGCCCTCCTCTCTCCCTCCCTCCTGGCTCCTTCCCCAGCTTCCCACACAGACACCCTTGCCCAGATTGCAGGCCAGCCTCAGCTTCTGCATTTGAGGGACAGAGAAGGCTCTGGGCTGTGTGACCGGCTCTTTCTGCCTCCCAGCCTGTCTCCTCAGTTCCTGTGGGGGTGGTGGTGGTAAAGATCCAAAATCCCTCGGAGGAAAAACAGGTTTGGCACCTTCTGGCCACCCCTAGTGCCTCCCTAGGCTGTGGGCTGGGCATCTATCTGCCCACATACATTGGAGGGGACCCACACCTCTTAAAGGTTCTCTCTCCATTTTCTGCGGCCCACTGAGGTATCTCCTGGTGGGAATGGGGGAGGGCACAGAGAGACAAGGAGAAGTTCTGGCCCCACAATCTTGAATTCCTAACTCTACCAGGTCTCTGAGCCAGGTTTCTCCACCTTCAACAGGAGGGTATTCTGTGCTGGGGACAGGATAAGGCTTTCTGGGAGGAGGAGGCACGTGGAGCCCACGGCACACCCCCATGGGTTTCCCACATCCTCTTCCCTTGGATCTCCCCTGTAACCTGCACCTCTACCCTGATTTGAAAGAGACATTCCAGGGAGAGGTGGGCAGGTTTTGGGGATTTCTCGTCTCTGATTCAGAAGGACCAAGCAGAGGTGGCTAGAGGTGTTTCTTGAACCTTTCACTTTGATAAAATACACCTAGTATTTATGATTTAAACCATTTGTAATTGTACAAGCCAATGGCCCAAAATGAAACAGCAGTGTTGAGCAACCCTCACCTATCTATACTCAAAACATCCCATCGTTCTCAACCAAAACGGTACCTGTTAAATATTACCAAGTCCCACCCATTCCCATCCCCTGGCAACCACGGCTTCCCACCACTTTGTCTTTGAAGTTGCGGATTCAAGATGCCTCCTAAGAGTGTGATCCTCCTGAACTGAGGCTAGAAGCTTCAGTCCTTCTCCAAGCCCAACACATACATTCAGCTATATCACCTCTGTGGGGAATCATAGGTGGCATGCCCCCTTCCCTCTAAAGCACTCAGATCTGCCACAGTAGGTAAGAGAAGGCAGGGGCGTCATCCTTGGCATTTCCCCCCAGGCTGGGACACCGTTAAGAACCCAAGGAAGCTGCCCCTAGCCGCCGTGGGGCGCCACGGAACCCAGGCCCGGAGGAGTAAGCGGCCCACGGGGACTCCTGGACCCCTGGACCTCGCCTGGACCTCGCCTGGACCTCGCCTGGACCTCGCCTGGACCTCGCCTGGTCGCAGCAGATCCTGCCTGATTAGCCCTGCTTGGGGCTCAGACGCTGAGTACCACAGGCGAGAAGTGAGCTGGCTACCCTGGACTTTCAAAGCATTGGGCCAGAGGTGGCGGACAGGGGGCCGCCCAGACTCTTCCCCAAACTTTTCCCGTCCGTTTGGGCGCAAAGGCGACGGATGCTACCCAGGGGTGGCACGGTGGTCTTGGGAACCCGAAAAGGGAGGCCTGCGCCCCAGGGGTCTGGAGAAAGAGCAGCGGGGCTGCCGCACAGACCGCACCCCGGCCCCTCCCTGTCACCCACGAATCCCCGGGCCTGTCCCGGTGCCTAAAGAAGACGGACTTCGCCCCTGTCAGCCCGGAACCCCGACATCACTACTGTCCCCGGGCGCGCCCCCAACTCACCGGGCGCGGGCGTCTGGACGCAGAGGCAGGCTGTGCGCGGGGTGAGGCGCCGGCTGTTTTGAAGCTCGGGCTGGGACAGCTCGGCCTCCTCCGCCCTCCGGGCCGACGAGCCTCCTCCCCGCCGCCCTCTCCGGAGCCCGCCTCCCGGGTGGTGATGTCAGGAGCAGCCGATCCAGGGGGCGGGACCGGGGCAGGCCGCCGGGGACCCCCCAGCTCCTGCCGTCCTGAGACACTCGCAAAGTTCAAGGGAGCTCAAGTCTCCCGCTGGAGACACCGCTCCCCTCCCCTTCTGTGTTTCCCCGCCTTCTCCTGACTTAACAGGGACCCCAAATTCCCGCTACCTTCCTAGCACCCTTCTCTTTCTCTTAATAAATTCGTGAGCTAGTTGTTAATATCTCCTGTCTCAGTTTCCAATGATGAAAACGGAAGGCATGGTGGGATCTTGTTCTGAGGTCTAAAAGCAATACTTGCGCAGTGTCTGGCTCCTGGAGAGGCTGGATAGCTGTAACTGAAAAATTAAGAGTTCCTCTCTTGAGGTAAGACCACCATCAGGACCAGATTCTGCCAAGTCAGGCTGGAGAGATGGCTCAGGGAGAGTAAGAGCACTGGCTGCTCTTCCAGAGGACCTCGGTTCAATTTCCAGTCACAAATGTTCCAGGGGTTCTGACACCTTCACACAGACACACGTGCAGGCAAACCAATGTACATAAAGTAAATAAAACATTTTAAAAAAAAAAGATCACTGACGCCTGTTACTTCTCAGTCTGAGGTAGAGGGTCCAAATTAAAGGCCCAGAATGAATTCAAAGGCAGCCCTTGATACTCAGTAAGACCCTGACTCAAAAATGAAAAAGAAGGCCATATTCCATGGTTTCCGGCTTGGCAGGCACGTGGATTCCACCCCAATAGCCCCTCCTCCAATTCCTCCTGGCAACCTCCAAAACTGATACACATGCACACCCTCATACAAATCACTCCCAAAGTCCTTCCAACTCCAGGGAACGTATTGTTCCTGAAAATGACCATAAGAAACCAAAACCATCCTTTCTTTTGCCCCGTTTTTCTCTTCTGAAAACAGCAGAGGGACAGACAGTCCAGAAGAAGGCTCTTCGGAGGCCCTGGAGGAGACCAGGGCCTGAGAGCTGCCCTATGTGTTGAAGGGAATGTTTTAAAATTGAACACACTCAGACCCAGGGCCCAGCATATTACAACATCGTTTTAGACTTCTAATTCCACAGGTCTGTGTTCCTTGTACAAACCAAAAATAAAAGACACCTGCTTGTGCCTCTAACTACCAACAGGATCTTAGGCACAGTTATGTGGTCTCAATTGGGCAACTGTATTCTTTCTTTCTCTTTTTCTTTTTCAACACATTTTTAAAGCGTCCTCTCTCTCTCTCTCTCTCTCTCTCTCTCTCTCTCTCTCTCTCTCTGTGTGTGTGTGTGTGTGTGTGTGTGTGTGTGTGTGTGTGTTTATACATGTGGAGTAAGAGAATGACGACCTTGTAGGGTTGATTGACTTTCTCCTCTTTTGTGTTGCTTCTAGGGTTCTTCAGACTTGGTGGCAAGTTCCTCTACCTCCTGAGCCATTTTCCTCGTTCACTTGTTTCTCCCTGTTTACAACATTTTTATTATCTTTACTTATTTATTTATTCAGGTGTGTGTGTGTGGATAGCACACATGGCGATCAGAAAGAACCGCACAGGTCCTGGGTATAGAACTCGGGTCCTCTCTCTTAGTGACAAGTGTCCTTAGCCTGTCGCTGTGATAAACACCAGACCAAAGACAACTTAGAGAAGAAAGGGTTGACTTCAGCGAACACTTCAGGGACACAGGAGTTCAGCGTGGGAACCTGGGGGCAGGAACTGAGCAGAGATCATGGAGAAACCCTGATTACTGGATTGCTCAGCTGCTTTCTGTAGCCCAGGCCCAGGTGCCCAGGGATGGCCCCGCCCACAGTGGTGGTCAAGAAAACACAGCCCCAGCATGCCTACCAACCAACCCGATGGGGACAATTGTTCGGTCGCTAGACTCTCTTCCCAGGTGTCTCTGGGTTTGTGTCAAACTGACAGCTGAGCTACCTATGACTACCATCTTGCCAGCCCTGAATTTATTTCATTTGTTTATTTATTAGTTTCTGAGACAAGGTCTTGCTATATAGCCCAGGATGCCCTTAAACTCTTAACCCTCCTGCCCCTCCACCTTCCAAGTGCTAGGGTTACACAAGGCAAATGCCACCACCTCTACCACTCTAAGCCATGTTGCTATAGTTCAGTGATCATGGGCATCATTTTAAAATCTGGTTGCAGGGGTCTATAGACGGAAGCTCTCACTGGATCTAAGCTAGAGATTCCTTATGGGACATGAGGGCCCATATTCTGAGACCCCCTCAGACCTCCAGCTGATGTAGTTGGTCTAGTATCTCACTTTTATGGGCAAAGCAATTCCCTAAGTGAGAGTCATTGCACAGGGCACAGGAGGCGCTATTTTGAGCTGAGGCCTGTCTGTCCCACAGTCATCTGGAAAACAGAAAACCCAAAGGTTTTTCTAGAAGGGAGAGTTCCTGTGCCCACTACCATTTAATAAGCATTAGCCATGTGTCAAACACCTTACCAACATTAGCCTATTATTATTGTTATTGAGACAAGATTTCCTGTAGGCCAGGCTGGCCACCAACTTGTCACTATGTAGCCAAGGATGACCTTAAAGTTCTGATACCCCTGCCTTTACCCAAGAAAGATAGGGGAGCACCCCAGAGTCAGTTTATGTGGTGCTGGGGGTGGAACCCGGGGCTTCAGGATTTGGGCAAACCTTCTACTAACTGCTATGTCCTGGACCTGAAAAACATCAGCTGGAATGCATCACAATAGACCTTAAAAGACACCCTCATTTCATCCATGAAGCTGAGACCCAGGGCAAGCTAGGAAAGGACCCGTTCAAAGACCCTAAGGAATGACATTGTGGATTTGAATCCAGGCCAACTGCATCAACCCCCTTTTTACCCTTTCTTTGCCAAATAACATAAACTGTTTATTTGAATATATTTATTTGAAAGGAAACTCTGTGTTGCCAAACAGGAAGCCAGTGGCATCATCCAAAAATAGAAGACAAACTTAAAATATAAACACCACCAAAATAAAAGTGTTAGCAAACTGTGGCCAGATGGTGTTGCCTGAAGGGACGACGAGCCCAGGGTTTGGGTCTGCTGCCCAGGGCAGTGGGAACAGCGGCAGCAGGCTGGCCTAGAGGATGCTGCTAACTGAACTCAGGCAGAATGGATGAAAATGGACCAAGACCTCACCCTGAGAGAAAGTTGGGTGTTGCCTCCTCCCTGTATCTTCTCCCAGGCCTCCTGCTGATGGGTGTGTCCTGAATTGGGAAGGAAAGAATGGGCGGACTGAGTTTCTAGCATTACCAGACCCTCGGAGGAGCCCCACCCACCTGGTCCCTTCACCTGCGGCTGGTCGGTCTTTATTTTCTCTGAACCTACACGGCTCTCTTCTGGGGTGAGGCAGAAGCTTGCCTTATCTATACTGTACATTTGCTCCAGGTATTTCAATAATAAAATACCATGGTGTGTGTGTGGCAGGGGGAGTGAAGGTGTGTTCCAGAGAGGTCTCACTCCCAACACTTTGATGACATAGGACACATGCCCACTCTTGCTGCCTTAGGTGGGCAAGGCACATTCTTCCACACCTGACTTAAGCTGGAGCCCCAGCTGGACCACGTGATCTACTTCAGCCAATGAGCAAATAGCAAGGCACCTGGGAAAGCTAGCAAGCCTTTTGGCAGTAGTTTCCTCCTGTCGCAGTTTTGCCATTTCCATGAGTAAAATAGCATTCTGGTACCCAGCTGGCTCCAGAAAAATTAAAGCAGCTTGGAGCACAGCTACCCTGGGTAAGCTGCAGAGTTCTCCACTGAGGGCCAGAGTTGCAGAGAGGTGGGTGAGATACACATGACCATTTCTGTACGCCATGGTAACATCTTGGTTATTTGTCAAGCGCTAGCTAATAACAGGATCATCGAGCTTGGAGACAGGGCATCTGAAGATGTGGAGAGCCATAGATAATGATGCAGGAGCCCACAGAAGTGGGTCTGTCCCACCTTGATCAAAGGTCGGAAAAATAAAAGCCTATTCCTGCTCCTTCAAGAATACGACAGGTTTGAGCCAAAGAGTGGCTGCCTAGGGCTGGAGAGATGGCTCGGAGGTTAAGAGCACTGACTGCTCTTCCAGAGGTCCTGAGTTCAATTCCCAGCAACCACATGGTGGCTCACAACCATCTGTAATGAGATCTGCAGGCATAACATGGTATACATAACTAAATCTTAAAAAAAAAAAAGAGAGTGGCTGCCTACAGGATGCTTGGTCTAAGATATGGTCATTGAGTGTTCTGCCTAAACGATAGACTATTTAACTCAGGTACAGTTGCTTGATGCTTCACGTATTGAAGCAGGCAATCTCTCCTAACCCCCGCTTTGGATTGGGGTATATAAGCATATGGAAAATAAACATGGGGAGTTCAGTATTCACTGAATTGTCCTCCCGTTTCCATCTTTTTCTTTCATATCTCTGTTCTCCTGCCTGATATTTCTAATCCTCACACCCCTACCCTGGAATGTGCGAACCCCATTGAGACTGGACTCCAACAGATGGATGGCACCTGACATCGGGCCACGACAGAATGGCAACATGAGGGGTTGGCTGAGGGTTGGGTAAAGAGATGAAGAGGCTATAGATATGATTAAATAGTTAAAATCACTTAATTCACAACTAAGGGGACTGGAGTTTAGGTCCCAGCACCCATGTAACAAGAGGGGTATCCCTGGAAACGTCTATAACTGCAGCTCAGAGGGTCAGAAACAGGAGGATACCAGGAGGTTGCTGGCTTCTAACCTAGTGAAAGCTCCAGAGGAGTAAAGGGAAAATGGTAGAGGACATCTGACAGACTCTTCTGGTCTCTATCTGTGTACCTGTACACACGTGCACACGCACACACACATGCACGCACGCAC